TGACATTAAAAGATTTGAACCTTATTTACCGGATGCAGTATATACATTTACCCATATTCATTTCATCATAAAAACATGTTTTATGTTCTATTTAATGAAAGTTTATAGGCTGATTGTTATATTTATAAACAACTAGACTAGAGACCGCACTTCGGTCGGACTTTAGGCTAGCTACCTCGGAGGGCTTTTCAGCGTCCTATGTACGTAAAACTTATAAGAATTAAACACCTTAATACGGCATGATCTTTCTTTGTATATGCAACCGATCTCCATAGTTTGTTTACATTTAGTTTGCGCGTAATTTTTATTTTCTTTTAAAATCACCATTCGTTATTATCCTTTCACTTAAAGTCACTCTTAACAGACATTAGGGAACTCGAACTATGTCATATTTCGAATACGTCACAGTACACGTGCTAAAAAATTATATGAGTAACGTACTGTGTCCTGCTTAAGCTTTAATTACAATTTAATTAGGCGATAGCGATAGGAATTGCGATGAAAAGCGAAATTAAAGTTAAACCTTTAATAAAGAATTGAATTTTAATCTATCACTCTGTTCGATATTTAAATTTAATTTTAAATGAGTTATTTATTCAATTTTTAATTGCGTGTTACTTCGGGTTCGTCGAGATCAAAAAACGGACGGACGGACAGACACACGTACACTACGCTTTAATTATAAACCTATTTTACATATACGAGGGTCGTTCAAAATAGTCTAAGGCTCACCCAGAAAGAGTTGGTGAGACAAGACAAGTTTTTACTATTTTTTCAATATAGTCCCCCTTGACATCGATGCACTTGGTACAATGATGTTTAAGCATTGCAATCCCATCACAGAAGAAGGTGGCACCCTGGTGCTCCAAAAACTCCTCCGTACCACATACGATCTCATCATTGTTTTCAAAATGGCGACCAAGCAATTGGGATTTGAGTTTAGGAAACAAGATGATATCAGATGGAGCTAAGTCTAGTGAGTAACGGGTATGGGGTAGCAATTCAAAGCCACAGCTGGCTACTAAGCATATAGGTGCATTATCCTGGAGCAAGGGCACACCTACCCTCAGCTTCCCTCTGCGTTTCGACTTGATTGCTTCCTTCAGTTTTCTTTGAATCTTTAATTCAGGTTCGAAGGAGTGAACTAATCTGTAGTGGAAATTCGAAGTTGATTTATTAATCTGCGATGTATATTCTCTAGGTCAGACTGGAAGAGAGTCAGAATTGTCCTGGAAATGTCAAACCTTTTTGAGCTTCTGCCCTGGCGTCAGCATTCTTGGGACCCATCTTGCAGACAGCTTGCTCATCCACAATATCACAGTGAAAACAGTATGGACCTAACCATAACTAATATCTATGGTCTATCTGCTGGACAATAGACGTCTGTCATCCAAAATCATATTGTGAATGACATCAACTTGTTCATCAGCTGTTGAGGTTTCTGGACGAACTGAGCGAGGGTCATCTTCTGTGATGTTCCAGCCTCGCTTGAATTACGCAGGACACTTCTTCACGGTTGCATGGGAAGAGGAGTCAAGTGTCTGTGCCATGTCCTCATGGATTTCCTTAAGTATCATACCTTTCTTTTGCAGATACTTTATGAATGTTCACGCCTCTATTTTGTCCATTTTCAGATTTATTGCACACCTCTCACATTTGCATGGGCCTCACCTGCACAGAAATTAAGACAGATATCTGAATTAGTTTTTCAAGTTTTATAAGAAGTGGTAGTCTTTTGCCACAACAGAAATATTTAGCTATGGCCCTTCTTTCTGGGTGAGGCCGAGAACTTTTTGAACAATCTACGTATTTACAATTCAAAATAATCACCCTTTGCTTTCACCATTATCTCTTCTCAACTGAAGTACATGACTTCTTCAAATTGGACCACGACATCATAAGAGCTTCTTTCGGCTCTGACACACTTAAGTATGAGATATGTGAAACATCACCCTCCAGTATGGTCCATATCGGATTATATCATGGTTTGATGAAAACTAAACTGAATTGTCAAGAAGTCCACAGAAATTTCTCTTGCACCAGTTCTGCGTCAAATTGGTCGTGTATGCAGAGTGAAAACATAACAACTTCCAAGTGTGGCTGAAAACCAGGATAACACTTGCTAGTAAACTCTGCTATTCACTTTTTATTCTTCTTCAATGAACACCCAGAGACGATTTCGAAACATCAGAAGCAGCAGGACTCCAAACTATGACAACAGTTAATTTCGGTCGTTTGAAATGTATTCGGACGCCTTCGGGATTTTTTTCCTGATGAAGTGGCGTCTATCATTTTTGCAGTTGACCACGAATTTCACAGTGAAAAAGATATCTTCTGACCAAACGACGATAAGCTACATCCGCGTCCAGGGAAAGACCTCTGATCAGGAAGCTTTGAGGAGCGTGGAACTACCTCTTAATTGCTGATGTCCCCAGGTCCACCTTGACCCGGGGTGGTAGCTGTTAGGGTCCAAGCTATGGGCAAATAGTTAACCCCGAAACTGAGACTACACCCACGTCCTGGGTATGACGATAAACTACATCCGCGTCCAGGGTAAGACGATAAACTACGTCCAACAGCAAGGCCTCTGATCAGGAGGCTTTGAGGAGCGTGGAACCTCCTCTTAATTGCTGGTGTTACCAGGTCCACCTTAACCCGGGGTGGTAGCAACTGTTAGGGTCCCAGCTAACCTAGAAACTGAGGTAAAAGGCATTATAAAAGTGTAAAAATGGGTTTTAATACCAGAAATACTTTGTAAAAAATTATTACCAAAATAAATTTTTAAAGAAAGGAGAATATTACCAGCTATACGTTTGTAGAAAAATAATATTACCAGCTATACGTTTTTGAAATAAATAATATTAACAGCTATACGTTTTTGAAAAAAATAATATTACCAGCTATACGTTTTTGAGGAAAAAAGTATTACCAGTTATACATTTTTTGAAAAAATAATATTACAAGCTATACGCTTTTGAAAAAATAATATTACCAGCTATACATTTTTGAGGAAAAAATATTAACAGAAACAGATTTTTGACAAAACAAAATATTACCAGAAAAAAAAAAGTTGTCGGCATTAAATGACCCATTGAAGTTGATATGCTGTAAAACAAAACCAACCAAACCAAACGAAGATATTGTCTACGGCACGCTGCATCTCCTCCAAACTTATCTTCCCTTTGCCTAGCCGTTTGGAAGCACTTGAGAGCAGCTGTCATCGTTGAATCTTGTATGGATTTATCCCTAAATCCTCTTTCGCAATCCTCCTTAGCAACCTATCCGAAATATTCGGCTTTTTTGCCATCTTCCTCATGCTTCTTCTTGAATTTCTCTTCACCCGCTTCTTAAAGGATTCAAAGATTCTCCTGGTAAGAACGAAACGGTTTCTACCTGGAATTGGATTTGGTGCTTCTTTTGCAAAGTTTCTATTTATTAAGCAAAGGTTTTTTTTTCAAACGTTCAACTATTTTATCACTTCAAAATTCTTTTCAATGCAATAATTTAGTTCCGTTTTGTTTCAGCCACCATATTTACTGAAACTGTTAACATTAAAACAAAAGAATGTTAGGAATCCTTATACAAAATTTTAAACTATTTTTACGGATAGGTATGTTTCATTTTATGTTCAAATAATGGGTAAATATTAATGCCACACCGAGTAAATTAAAACGACCTATTTTCTGACAGCTGTTATATTTTTACTGAGTTGGCTAAAAGCTTAATTTTAATAGTTTGTATTACAAGAGTTTAGTTTTAACTAAGTTCATAAAAATGAAAAAATATATTACTCGACAGCAGTCACTCCATAAAATAAATTAACTGTAACTGGAGTCTTAATAGTATGTCGTCTGGAGACCATTGGACATAATACACTTATAATTATAAGCTTGTTAACAATTATTTATGTCGGGTTCCCAATCAGAATACATGTAGGTATTTATCTTCATTTATTCTTGAACAAGGACATAGTAGTCGAGCGGATCGTAAAGGTCGAGCTGACTTCTATGTGTAGGCTATCATGGGTCTTCACAACTACCTGCCCTTTTTGCCATCCCAGTCCTGATAATACCATGGACAAAACATGTGAGCAACAAGCAAGTTTTAAGGAAATTGGAAACAAAAAAGACTTTTGTACTTACAATCAAACTATTGAAATTTCTGAAAGGCATAAAGAGCAAAGTGGGCTTGAACAATTTTATTCTCACATGACACTGAAAACAAGAGGAGCGAGAAACTTACCTAACAATATGATTGTTGTGATGATATAACCCAACTTCCCCATTCACGATAATGGACGGACTGGTTGCTGATTAAGTACGACCACAGCGGACAGTCGAAGGTCTTCGTTTGTTAACACCTATTGAGGTTAGCATACTCCCGACTCTGTCTCTGTACTTGACACACCTACATCCGATTATAAACCTATTATTGAAAACCAACACTCGGGTTACTTTGTTTATTATATCTTGCACGAGATATAACAATGATGTAAATGGATGGCAAAAACAGAGACTTGGAAGAATAGTAAGAACCAAACACTGCTATGAGCTGGAAAGGATAGGAAGTTTTGGAGAGTCGTAATCGCTTATGTCATGAAGTGACGCGATATAAATATATATATAAAAGAATATTTTGAGCGCCATAGTATTACTATATTGACAGTAGACGAAGGTTCTTCTTTAACTAAGTATTTACGAATTGATTATATTAACAATATTGCTATCTCTGTATATCATAATTCGAAACTAAGGCTTTTTACTAATTCATAGTTTGGTATACGTTGCCACAGAAAATATTTACACCGTTTATGTTTAAATGCAACTTTGCAAAATCTGTTTCTATTAGTTGAAAATTTCCTGTAATAGATAATCTTTATTTTGAATTATGAATAGTAAACGTTATATTCTACAATGTTTGCATAGTATTTTATAGTTTTTGCTTAGATTGATTCAAAGCTTCAAGTTGTTTACACTATACGATGTTTTCTAAATGGTGCTTATGGCCATATCAAATTGAAACACCGATCAGCAAAGTTAAGCAAGGCTGAGCCTGTTCCGTACTAAGATGGGTGTCTGCTTGGGAATACCAGGTGCTGTAAGCTTGGATATGAAGGTGGTGTAATAAATAACAACTTAGAATTTGAAATCGGACAGCTGACTTCCATAATTAGGTTCGTTATATTCACTTAAGCGTTAATACCATTTGGAAATGTATTTATCCACCTCTTCTCCACCAGCTATGCGTTAATTAGTAGAAATTGTATCAGTAAATCATTATTATTTCCAGAAGATTCTTACAATCCAAAAATATTATCTGGCTTTAAATAATCTGTAAAAGGTTGTTAATCCATAAAAACAAAAAGTTTAAATGTTGACTTAATTAAATACTTAGTAGATTTATTGCTATGTTCAGTGACCAGGCAAATTCACGGGTTTAAATATGAAAGGAAAGAAGCTGCAAATGTAGTATGTAAAGTGTAAAAAATGATTGTACATTATGTAAAAATGTATATAATTTAATCATTGAAAGTGTATACAAATAAAAATACATCACTATAGGTTAAAGTAGTGAGATGTCTAGTGAGGGTCGAACTTGTTACACTACATTGTAATTAGTTGTTAAACTTAATTAGATTTTACACCAAATGTAGACTGAGCTTTTGTGAAAGGGACTTTCCAATTCTCTCACTAGTGGAGTGCTTAATATGGATATATGATCATAATGTGTGTTACATTGATAATATTTAATTTTGTACATTCTCTATGGAATTGAAGGATCCTCGGAAGATTAAATTGTAGTCGTGGTAAATTTGAACCTTTTATATATTTATTTTTCTGTCTAATTCAGTTTTTTATGGAATAGAATTCAGTTTGGGAATAAACACAGTGCAGTATCGTATCACCCAGAAAGCAACAATTTTGAAGTCCCCACTTTTTATTTACTTCCTTTTTAACTTGTCTTCCTGTTAGGATTTTCTGACATTGCTATCTCTAACCTTTAAGTATTTTAGATAGGGCGGCGAAAACTGAGTCGAAGATCTATAATTTATTCATTTCTTCCTTTATTTAATCGAGTCATATTTGCATATGACCTACACACATCCTCCTGTAAACTCTACATTATTATAATACCCAATACAATTCGTATTTTTCTCCTATGGTGCATGTTTAGGCGACATTTTTTCATCAGTTCATTTAGCAATATGGGTGGTCAAGACCCGCCTTTACCTGATGAGAAACACCACAAGAAGACACGATAACTTAAAACGTCCTTGGGAGATATATGTTTTTTATACATATCAGATTTCGTAGTTTTCCTGCATATGTCTTTATGAAAGACATTTTTAAGCCGATGAGATTAGCATGTGCGCAGATGTGCTCGTTAAAAGTTACGTCGAGTCAACACGCCTCCAAATTTGAAATATTGCTATCAAATTTTCGAGAATTACTGAGAAGAGTAATGTTTTTATTTGTTTAAAATTTTAGTTGAGGTACAGTAAAACAATTCAAAAACCTTGAAATTAAAAAGAAAACCTTTGCTAATATCGTTCAAAGTTGATATCGGGGGTGGGTGGAGGTAGATCTGGGAAATTAGAATTTATTTCGATGTACTGGATGTTGACATCTGTGAGTTGTTTTTTTAACCTTATATTCGTTTGTTTTCTTGTTTGCTAATATTGTGCTTCTTTTGTTTGTTTGTCTTTAATTCTGTCGTATTTGCTAGCCTATCGCATATATAGATTCATATCTATCTATCTATCTATCTATCTATCTATCTATCTGCTTGGTGGCTTAGAATGTTGCGCTTCTGTTTCTAAAACGGAAGAATAACACAACGTGAGTTTTCTCTTTTAAATCAATCTATACATCGAAAAATCTGATAAGCCAACATATTGGATTGTTTGGAAAATAATGTCCGATTTCAGAATAATCATTTTGTTTTCTAATATATTATTGTAATAGTTACACAAAAATATATTACTCATTCTTAATAATTAAAGATTCCTTTTTAATTCAATCTCTTTCAAAATTGAACTTTACATAGCCCATCTTGAACATGAAAAAAAGAAGAGATGTGTTTACTTTTTTGTACGAGTTCATGATGGGTCCTAATGCTTTTCAATAATGCTGCCAAAATTAATAGAGCAAGGATCCACTTGTGATCGGGCAGTACGGCACTGGTTTGTGGAGTACCACGGTGAGGATATGAGTCTTGAAGATCAAGGTAGTAAAGGTTTGGAATTGGCGATTAATATCTGAAAGCTCTAGTCGAAGAAGATCCATGTCAAAGTGTCAGAAAAATCTCTCATATTTTGGGTGTCAGAATGTCAACAATATCGGAACATTTCAAGAAAATTGGCAGAGTGAAGAAATTCCATAAATGAGTCCCACATGAATACAGTGAAAATCAAACAATGCGTTCGAAGTGTGATCGATGCTGCATTTGCGAAATTTCCATTTTCCATTATTTTTATCGAATAATGATGAGAAATGGATCCTTTAAGACAATCATAAATGATTGGCTCAATGGCTTGATCCTGACGAAGGTTCCAAAATCTTTTCGAAACCAAAATTGCACCAAAAACAGATTATAATGACTGTTTGGTGGTCTGTCATTGGCATTATTCTTTACAAATTTCGGAAATCTAATCAGAGAATCAATGTCGAAGTGTAATGCTGGCAACTTGATAAAATGCACATTCATTTCAACAAAATGTGACCGGAATTGGTTAATCGACGAGATCCAATTTTGCCTCATGAAAATGCTTGGCCATATGTTACCAGGATAACACTACAGAAGCTCACCGACTTGGGATACAAGTCTTTGCCACCATCACAATATTCTTCTGGTCTCTCTCGTCCAGTGACTACCACTTTCCCAAGTATCTTGACAAAAGACTTTCCATTGCAAAAAAGATTCAGAAACTGCATTCAAAGATTACTTGACGTCCGAATCTTTAGAGTTTTATTGTAAAGGCATAAATAACCTTATAATTTGATGGTAGAAATGTATAGATGTCCAGTGCTAAAAACTGTTTAAATACATTAATCAAGGAATAAAAATTGATTCTAAAATCAGACATTATTTTCCGAACAATCTAATATTACTCCAAGTCTACTATTTTCGAAAAGAATAGGCTCATAGTGTTTGTATATTTGGAATTACAGAATAATAAGGGTTTACAAACGAAACGTGAATACAAGAAAAAAATAATAAAGGCTTTAATCGCAGTGCCTCATCAGTTGTTTTCAATGAAACCTGTATAAAAGAGGAATTGCTGCCCAAATACACAATTTTATATATTCAGTACCCTCCAAAAATATAGGAACGGCAAGGCCAATTCCTTTGCTTTTGTTATTTATTGAAGACATTTGAGGTTAAGTTCAAAAGATGAAAATGAGACAAGAGTTCAGAATTTCGGCTTTTATTTTCTGGTTTTAAAATTTAGACGTGTTAAGCACCCTGTGAAAAACCAAATTCTTTTTGAAACCACTCATTTTTCAAGTGAGCAAAACTATTAGAAGATGTAACTAACCGGTGTTTCTTGTTGCCTTTTAGATTGATTGTTTAAACATTGAATAGTTCTGAATAACTACTCTTAGTTTTAGACTTGGGTTTCACCTATAAATACTGTTTTTTGTTAAAAAGGATAAACCAAAATGAAGATGAGTGAGCTGTCTATTGAAAAAAGCAGGCCATTTTGAAGCTAACAAAAGAAGGAAAATCAATCGGAGCCATGACCAAACATTGAGCATAGACAACACAACAATTTGGAATGTCCTGAAAAAGAAAGAAACTACTGTTGTACAGAGCAACAGACATAAAACAGGTCAACCAAGGAAAACAACAGTAGTTGATGACAAAAACATTGTGTGAACTGTGAAGAAAATCCCAAAGCAACAGTCAATGATAGCACCAACAACCTCCACAGTGCAGAGGTGAAGGCTTCACAATCCGCCATTTGAAGAAGACTTCGAGAGCAGAAATATGAATACCATACCATAAGATGCAAACCACTCATCAGCAATAAGAATTTGGAGGCCATATTGAAATTTACAAGGAAATACAAAAATGAGGGACAAAAGTTCTGGAAGAAAACTTTATCGACCAATGAGATCAAGATTAATCTCTACCAAAAGTGATGGCCAAAATGTGGAGAAAGAAAATATCTGCTTAGGATCCAAAGCACACGCATTCACTTGTAAAGCATGATGAAGGCGGTATTTTGGCTTGGGGCTTGCGTGGCTGCTTCTGGAACAGGCTTATTCATACTTATTGATGATGTAACTCATGATGGTATTAGCAGCAGAATGAATTCAGAAGTCTACAGAAACATTTTGTCTGCTAATTTAAAGAGAAATGCATCCATACTAATCGGAAGGAAGTTTATTATACAGCAAAACAATGACCCAAAACATGCTGCCAACACAACTAAGGACTTCATCAGGGAAAAAGTGACTGGCCAAGTCAGTCACTTGACCGTAACCCAATGCATTTCATCTCCTGAAGAAGAGACTGAAGGAAGAAACCTCCTGAAACAAGCAAGAAGTGAAAGAGGCTGCATTAAAAGTCTGCAAAAGCATCACAAATGAAGAATGCAACTGTTTAGTGATGTCAATGGGTTGCCAGCTTGATGCACTTATTGCAAGTAAGAGTTATGCAATCAAATATTAAAATGTTATTTACTTTATGACAATCTATTCCTTTAATTTTGCTCACCTAAAGTGGGATGAGCTGATATAAAAGGTGTTTTGTTGTAAGCTGTTTAACACATGTAAATATAGATACCAGGAAATAAAAGCTTGAATCCGAACTCTTGTCTCATATTCGTCTTTTGATCTTAAACCCAAATGACTTCAGGGAACAACAAAAATAAAGGAATTGGTCTTGCCATTCCAATAATCTTTGAGGGAACTGTATATAATGGATGTCCAAAAGGTGTAAAGTGCAGATATGCATAAAATGAACGGAATTCGAACATAGTGAAATCTGTAGACTCGAAATCAGAGGAAATATGTAATACTTCTTGAAACGGTCAGAACCAGCTTAATATTGAACGCATGCGCATGTATGTGACATCACAATGAATATGTCTACT